CATCGTTAGATTATTTATTTTCAGTACTCAATAAATCTACATAGTTATATACAAATTTAGAAAAATACCACTTAATCGCTGGTTACTTGATCGCGATCACGACTTAGATTGTGAGTTTTACGTGGGGGGTGCTTAAGCTCTAGAATGCTAGTAAGATGGGATTTTAATACATTTTGTGTTTGAACACAAAATTAATAAAGTGACGAAATTAAATAAGGTAGGGGACATGACACAATACAAGGAATAGTAGGAAAACTGCTTAGAGGGTGCAAGTACGTAACAGCTTTATGGTAAATAAAAAATTGAAACTTTTGAACTACTAGAGAAAAGAGATTAGCCAAAAACATGGGATTTTCAAACCTCTAAATCAGACGATAAATGGCAACGCTCATCGAGTCTCGACCGAAAACATATAAAAATTCCTTATTTTATTGGGGCAATATAACTATAACAGGTTACGTACCTTGACGTCCACAAATCCTCAGTCGAACTTTTGTTAACTAATAAGTAGTCATTTTCAAAACAGAACGTTTAAATATTTCATTCATTGCATGTCGTCAAATCTTCTTAAATACATTGAACACAAACACAACACGAACACGGTAGACATTCAACATAGTTGGCCGGCCGGCACACGTCACTGAACTGCTCAACATGAATAAATTATAATATAATAGTATATACAGCCCCAAATACGACCGACTATCATACGTACGACCGATTATCATCGTTAACAGACTCAAATTAATTAACAGCGAACTAGGTGAATCCCGTCGAAATCGACGGTTACTCTTGAGTTTTAGGTAAATTCAGCCAACTGCGATGGATAGAGTGAAGTTAATTAAAATCTTAGTAAAATGAAGGGAGGATAAACATTATTTATGAGTAAGACGATTGTGTACCTTAAAAAACGTGGTAAATGAATTCATTGAATTCAATATTTTATGTCCTTTCATCGGCTTTAGGTTACCCAAAAGGCTTTTCAGGAGTCTTACAATTGTTTCTTGTTCATGACTTTTGTTTATGTTAAAGCCCCTTTCACTATATGAGGAAAGGAGTTCATATAATTGGTCTGTCATCTGACGGAAAGAGTCAATCTTACCATATTACTAAAATAACTGGTTCCATCTGCTTTAAGAAAATCATTCAGATTGTATTTGGATTGTATAAGTGAATCACAATCTTTGGTTATAAAAATACAGAATTTTATCAATGGGAGGCATATTAAATATTTTTTTTTATTGATAAACATATCTGATTCTCCAGAAAGAAGTAACATTCTTACTTCGATGGGGGTCTAAACAATTTTGATTCCTTCTCTTGCCAATTGGTTCTCTAAATGTACTTATTCGCTAATTTTTTAACTTCTGGCGTAGTTTTGCGAAATCATTCCATGAGGTTGCTGTCAAACTTGAACTTTTGATATTCGAAGATCAATAACTTCCTTGGCCATATGGATCACATTAAGTTGTGCATGTATTTTGTGGATGGGATGGACCATAATTGTAGTAAATTTCGCCACAAATCTTGAACATTTGTGGCCACTAAAAAAATTTGTTATGGAAAAAATTTGTTATGGAACCACATCCATAACCTAGTCCGGCTTTGTTGGGAACAAATTATGCAAAAGAGATGAGATGTGAAGGTACTGTTTTATTAAGTTAATACCTGAATTGCCTTTAATTCACCTACTTCACCAAAACCATAGATTAAACATATTCCATGCTAAAAACTTGAATATAGCTCACATCCTCGACGTACTCCTCAACACTTGCATGGCTTTAATTCTATGACACAATGTTCTACTCGATTATCAAAAACTTTCATGCTAATAATCTCACAAACCTCTGACGTTCTTTCATGAATGTAATGATAAATGAAAAAATGCAAGCTCCAACCCCTACAATAAATATAAGCTAACCCGATAAGGAATAATTATCTGTTCCTTTGAAATTGATATGTCCCAGTAATTTCATAATACAACATTTTATAAGTGCATTAAAGCATAGATTTTTGAACAAAAATATTTAAACGTACCTATCATACAATTACCCAATTCATAATTTTATTCAAACTATAAAAAACTTGCCATGCAGTGGAAAATCAATTTTAAAATCGTTAAATAATAATGTAAACATTTCATTTTGACAGATTCAGTTAATGCTCATAACAGCTGGTTCATTAAAAGTAGTTTAAAATTATCCACATGGCCGTAATGTAAACAAATCTGCTAAGGGAACTTTAAAAGCCTCTGGGGTGGAGCCCCAAGGGAATTTACCTCGTTTCTCTTTTGATGGCTCATCTACAGACCAAGACCTTTCTTTAGAGACCCCTACCAAGTTTCTACGCCCAGCCGTTCTCTGAAATTAGCTGTGACAAAAACCCGATTTTCCTCCATAAGAATAACATGGGATGGGAATTTAAATACATTATACTTTAGCTTTTGATCATCCACAAAATAATCAAATTTCTTAGTTCTATTTTTAAATTTTCTTGCCAAAAAAGGACGGTTTACTTCATAATTGATTATAAGATTTGGTATTAATGTGTATAAATCTAATATGTATGGTTCCTTTAATTTAGTTGGACTCTAATTTATTTATATATGCTAGTACTGAATGTTTAATTTTTTGAAATCACTACTCGTGACAGCAGTGTAGTCACCAAAAGCTATAAAATAATTGTATATACTTGGTCTGTATCATTAAAGATAAATAGAACCAAAGTAGTAGCTCTATCATTAAGGGTTTTAGGGAGTTAGATTTTGACTTGATTTTTGCACCATGAAGGTTTGCTCTCTGACCATGGCAACTCCAATATGATTCCCATACAGTGTTTAGATAAGTTTTTGCAATTGACTAAGGTGTTTTAACTCTTCTCAACCAATATTTTTATTTACTTTAGTAACGGTGTCAATAAGGACACCTAAGATTTTACACTTGTACAATTATTCTGCCTTAATTATGTAAAGTGGAAAGAAAAACGTATTTAAACTAGATTCGCCATTTTAAAGTAATTTCTATAATAATTACTTATGTATTATTATTATATGTATTATTATATTATAATGTAAAGCCTGTTATATTATTCAAATACGTAAATAAGCCAGTAATTACTTTGCACTAGATTGTGATACAGATTTAAACATACCTTTTCTTTTTTTCTTTTTCATACCTCATACTCCAAGTGAGGGGTCACGTTTCAAATTTTGAGACTGCTCCGATATTCCCACCATAGGGCAATAGCGATGGTTAAAGTTATTTGTCATGGCTTTAAATGCTTACAACATTTTGAGAGCATAAATATATAAAGATATGCTGAGTGTTCGGGTAAGGATTATCAAGAAATAAGGATTTCAATAACGTAAGTTTAGTTGTTTTAACTATCAAACCATATTTAAGAAACAACAACTAAAAACTACCAGGTCAACTGAGGAGCATATAATCATTTCATGTGTCAAAACTGAGTCATGAGCCACAAAAAGCATTAAACACTAATGTAAATATCAGCTTAATGATTATATTTATTGTCAAGTCGTGTAGTGACAGGAATCTAGCATCTTGTACAAAATATATGAAAGTGTTAAACCAATAGTCATGTATGATCTAGTATCCAATCATTTGTTACCTAAATCAATTGAAGACAAAAATAATTTTAGTAATAGTTTATGTAATTACAAGCGAAAAAGAAGCCTATCCAAATGGACATTGTAAAGTAGCTAGTTCCATCATAAGACCTATTTGAATGCCGTCAATGTTTGATTTAGGTTTGAAATGCTTATTGAACCAAATTGTTTAACACTTGGGTCAGTTTAGTACCCACCCTGTACATTGTGTGCGTATAAACGACGACCCGTACAGCCGATCATTAGAAACGTTCTTGGGAATGTTTCCATCAAAGCAAAGAAAGCTTAAACCGCATACGCACTATTCATTTTATAGAATAACACTGCAGCTCGACATATTTTTTCTAAACCATTATGATGGTTATGTATAGTGGATTTCAACACCTTCTGCTTCAGTACTTACCATATTCAGTTGGTTCTATAGCCAGGATATTAAATAATAGATAACCTTAAAGATAATTCACTTAGCACATTATCTTATATGTTGACAATAATGTGGGCAGCATCATAATCAACCTATGGGTTAGTGTAAATAATATCGTAAATATCTCATTGTCAGATTTTCTCCCTATATAAAAAAGGCTTTACAGGGGGCCGTGTTGGTTCTCTGACACGGTCAGATTTTAATTTCCAGTCAACGGGTTGACCCTCATTAGAGACGAGAGCGAGGGTTTGGAACTCTGACAAGAGGCCGCAGGTTAAAGTACAGTCTGGTGCAGAAGTATGCCCCTTGTCCCTACTACCCCAGGCCCAGCATCTAGTGATAGTGACGTGACACAACACCTAAATTACAGATATAGGGGTTTGGTTTGGTTGTAAAAGATTTAAATAGATATTACAAGTTTTATTTCATTTTCGGAGTTCATATATTTTATGAAGACAACCTCGACCCCTATTCTGTGATTTTGGTGCTGTGTCGCTAGCACTAGATGCTATGCCTGGGGAAGTAGGGACAAGGAACATACTTCTGTACCAGACTGTATTTAAACTGCAGCCTCGTGTCAGAGTTCCAAACCCTCGCTAAAGAGGGTCAACCCCTTGACAGAAACCGTTGGACAAGAAATTAAAACCTGGCCGTGTCAGAGAATCATGGCGGCCGATGAGAGAGTCCATGCCCAAGAACAGCCTCGATACCATATGCTCAAACGAATATCACATCTTCTTGCAATGCCAAACAAGGTTTCAGTAACGTGTATTATTATTTTCTGTACAAAAGGCAACTGGAATTTGGAATTAAACTTTACATTCTGGTAATGAAACTAAAGCACGCAAAACGGATGAAGTTTTGAACAATAATTTTTTTTACTCTAAATATATAATATTTGAAAGACTAAGTAAACAAGAATAACGAAAGGGGTTTAATAATAAACAACCCTTTCATTAGGAACTAAATTACGAGAGTTTTTAAAATTTATTACAAAACATACTTTAAAGTACATACTTTTCCAGTGTTTCAATCTATTTATAAATATTTCGAACGTCATCCCTTAAATTCAATACCTTCTAAAACTATGATACAAGACAGTCCGTAGTCTTTTTGTGCGAGCTTGTTTTGAACGGCATTTTGCTAATTGTCCGACTCTCACTTTGTGTGTAGTCTCGGGTGACGATAGGTTTTTGCTTTCTTATGTCTGGTGGATCTATACAAGCGGCAACAGGTTGAAGATGGTGTCGTGGTCGATGGGACCCAGGCCCAGGTAGTCGAGCAGCAGCAGGACGAGGGCGTGGAGCAGGAATGTCGTGAGTCCGTTGAGGAGCTGGACCAGCTCACAGACGAGGGGCAGTAGTGGGGTGAGGATGGAGTACAGGAGGTTGTCTAGAAGGTTGAGACGCAGCATGGCCACCTGAGGTTCAGGCTCTGCAGCAGCCTCAGGCAGCGGCTCCGGAACCGCCTCGGCGGCCGGGCCTGCTAGGCTCGTCCCCTGCGACATAAGAAACTTGTTAGTACGTCTTGAACAGTACCGGGTTATAAGTGTGCGGTAAAATAGTAATCCCTTTCATTCTAGCCTTTCCCTCCTGTTTTGACTCGGTGTGATTATGGGAACTCAAGAGTGAAATCTTCTACATCGTAAAGAACAGGACGAGGATATAGTGTACAAAAAGTCCCGGCTCGGTGAAATATTTAAGCTAGAGCTACAAAAATGTTTCCTAATTTACTGGACTAAAATAACTCTTTCTTTATCACATAATCAGTAATCCTCTACTTTCTCAGGGGTGACAGCACGCTTTGATTCAAAAGAAAATCTTTAACGTAAGCATAGGTTGATATGCACATCAAATTAAAGCAAATTAAAGGTCCTTACTATTAAAATAAAATGCAGCACATTTGAAATTAACCGGATAGCCCAGTCAAAAATGGTAGCTATTTTCTTGAATCTGCCATTTTGGATCTTTGAACGCTTGCCTTTTTTTACTCAGTTGTTCTTTTGAGAGCAAATTTTCTGCATTTTATTCTACAAATGAAGACCTTGAATTTTATGTTCACCAATGAATACGTTTATGATTATATTCTTATTTCTAGCGGTCGCCCCCTGAAGATGTAGTGTATATAATGCAAATCGAATGCATCTTTGAATAGCTGTAATTTTTTACTCAGTTATCCGTTTGAGGTCGGGTTTGCGACTCTGTACTCTAATAATAAAGACCTTTAATTTAATGTACATATCAATCTATGCTACGTTTAAGATTTTCTTCTGACTCCTAGCGGGTCGTTCCCCTGAAGAAGTAGATGATCACTGTTTATGTGTTAAAGTAGATTCTTATGTCCAGTAACTTTGTGCAAAGTTTTGTAACTCTATTTAAATATTTCAAAAAATATATTACCGACCCTGGACCTTTTGGACTCTCTGTATGTTACGATCAACAAGATCGATTGGTCTTTCGCATGTAAAAACATGATAAACCCAGTGTCTTGGAATAAGAATTCATAAAAGAGAAACTAGAAAAAAACTTAGGAGTAAAGTAATTACTGTACTTAACCACACATACCCTCTCTACAGTTTGGTCCTTCAAAACAACAAATAATTGGTTTCCAAGGCAGGGATTTCTTTACTAGAAAAGCTCAATAAGATATACAATGTATCAAGCTAACATCTTCATATTCTAAAAAAAAACCATTGCATCTTTCTGCTGAGAGCTCAAATTCTTAGGATGAGAATGGTACATCTTTTGTACATTATTTAGAATACTTAAAATACCTAATGTTTTTACTAATTTATTGTTTGAGTGATGAATACATACGACATTTTTTACATTAGATTAATCTGTTAGTAATCGTCTGCATATTGCATATACTCATTTAAATAAATTAATTTGTCACCTACTTTAGGGATGCCACTAATTATAAAATTAAAACTCAGTGCTCAAGGACTTAACCCATCTTGAACATTATCAATCCTAAGATTTGAGAAAGTCAAGGAACTTGAAACTCTGAGCAATGTGATCAAACTAAGATGTAAATGGACATAACAGGGTTAACAGTTTACTTAAAATAGACGAAGGGTTAAATTATTGAGAATGCAATAAGCAGTAAATTATGCAACAAGAAGTTTAACTAAAATAAACTTGAACCTACAGATCAATGGACAGGCCGGAGAAAACGACTAAAAAGAGCGGTATAAGAAACTCGGATCAATAGGTGAAGTGTAGAAAAGAGCCTGTTGAAAATTCACCGTGAGTTGTACTATGGAGCCAAAGTAGTAATTGGGTTGCATATACTTAATGACAGACCTGATTAAAATAATAAAAATATTGGATAAACAGAACTGAATTTGTTAACCACTGAAGAGGAGGAACAAGTTTTGAAATTCTACTGAGCTAACGCGTAGGAGTACCAATAGCAATAAAGGAAAATCTAAAAAGAATAAACAAAGTTATTTAGAATCCAGAAACGTTTAAGCAATAGGCTCTTTCAAGCAAGGGTATTCTTTTCGTGGAGAAGAATCATGATCTTCCTTACAAAGTTGTTTTTCTTGTTGGACCAAAGGTCTCGATTGGAAACTACAAGTATTTCCTTTTATTATTGAGAGTAAGCCCTTGACAAGCCATATACTACTGTATCTATTATTGTGTATTTCTGGTTAGCTTTTTAATAGCTATATATTCTCAAAACTACCACCTTAATATAATATCTTTTCAATTTACAGTTTCGTTTTCATTTACATACTAGTTTACTGTTTTGATGGCGTAAGGTAATTAAAATGTCTGTGGCCTAAACTGACAAATTGATCATATCCAACATGATATAATTTTTATGTGAGATCTTTGAACGATTAAAAAATCTAAAGTAAGCAGTAAACCTTGAACAATGTATAACTATGCCTGTTGTTGTGAATTTGAATTTTCTAAATCATATATGTTGCCCGTCATTATATGTGACTGGGTTTTTATGTACTTGGGTCCCATAATATTAAATTATTCGAGGACTTATCCATCACTAACGCTTAGGAGATATGTTGTAAAGTAAATTACTAAACGGGCATTATAAATTAAGCAAAGAATAACACAAAACCAGAAGTAAACTAACTCAAAAAAGACTAGAAGTTAGAAAATTATTTTGAAAATTTTGAAAATTTAGATAGTATTTTAGAATTACATTGCAGCCTTGTTGTGCAATATATGTATTTCAATAAAGCGTAAATAACATAATTCGTTCCAGCACCTGACAAAAAGTGAATCAAACCTAGATCAAAATCAAGACTTATTTTATAGACAACCTACAATGTAAAACAGACTACTTGGTAAAGGAGATGCGTGTCTGATTTTAAATGGACGTTCAGTAAAAGTAGTTTGGAGTAAATCGAAGTATGAACAGTTTTGCAGAATCATCAAAAAGTTTTTATTAATCAATTTGTACGCTAATAAAGCCCTGTTGCCACAATCTATTATGTTGAAGTATGTGAGGTATATTATCGTAGTAATTAAACCAATAAACCGTAAACATTTGTGTGGTAAATGCGCGTTAAAATGTTGTCCAAACCGTAACGAATTCTTTAAAGAATAACAAATCAACACATGTTTTTGTTGGCAGTATATCACAAAACATCAAAACTTCCAAATGCCATATTTTGAAAGGAAATAAAATTCGTTTTACAATAATTATATGCAATCACAAGAGGGTTTCGACATTCAATAATTATTGAAGAAACTGGGTTTGTTGCTTCGATAATTTAAATTTTTATGAAAATATTAAGTATAGTTGTCTGATATAGTTGAGAAAACGTAAGCTATACTTCTAATACTCTAATACATGACGAATACCCTTAAATGTTTAAAACCAAAAGGATTTTCGTTAAAATATTTGTACTTAATATCCTAACTTAATAAAATCCTTTATGAGTCATAGATTTTAAATGAAAGTAAATTATCTAAATATTTTCCAAATATCTATCGAAGAATATAAACCATACAACATAACAAAACCTAATCCAAAGAGATTGTTGTCAAATACTTGTACTTTATGTCCTGATTTAATAAAATCCTTTGAAAATCGTCAATTCTAAAAAAAAAAATAATTATGAAAACATTTCCACAAATATTTAACTATGAATACAAACCATACACCATTATAATACCAGACCCACTTACAAGTACACTGACAAGTTGAAAATACCTAAATAAATACTAATATTTTACCAAAAATATACAGAAACTAAAACTAAATCACTCTGAAACAACCCCCACTTCGTCCACAGCCACTATAGCACTTCACTGTGTCCTCGCGCGAGCTTAATGCCACTAATCCGCTAAATGCCACTAATCCGCTTAATCCGCTAATCGGTTACTCACCACCAAAAGCAAAAGGACCGTTAAAATGGGGAGTTTTAAGTGAGCCATGGTTTCTTTTGGCCACAGGCGTCAACGATATCACTACATGCTACATACGCTATCAGAACAAATAACGAGTAATAAATGGTTAATAAATAAGAAGGCCAGAGCCACTATCGTTTACCTGTTTGTCCTCTGATAACTCAATAGGTAGTCGACGATGTTCTCCGGAAGAGAAACTACCTTCTCTTACTAATTTGTTTAAAGATTTTATTTATTTTTATTTTATCAACCGAACTTATATTTTATTTGGGGAATGCACAATAAGCTTCGGTTGACGTGCTTGGACCATGAGTCCACCCTCTTACAATCAACTCACTAGTGATATTAGTTGCTATTTTATGGTTGGTAACATAATAATAATATTGTATGATATTTTAGAACAAAGTGAAGTGTGCTTTGAAGCTTGCCATTCAGTTATTCTTAGATATTAAAATACAATATATTTTAGTTCATATTATAAAACATTTTATTTGATATTATAAAATGTTCGGACTCAAAATTATGATTTTGAATCGAATCACTATTTTTTAACGATTTAGAAAATAAAAGTGCTTCCCAGCAACAATGTATTATTACTTCCCTGTAAATGTAAAAATGCTTCAATCTTAAAAGTATAAACAAACAATTTTAATGTCAGTTAATGAGAATTAATGCAACTTTTTATAAATACGACTACGACAAAACAGTGATAGGCTTGGTTGATTATTTTAAATAGAAAACCAAACAAACAAAAGTAGGACTTAAGTAAATGCCATCTTAATATCATTAGCAGAATGTGCAAAGGGAGTAATACTAGTTATCTGGGCTACAGGCATGAAGAAAAACAAGCTCGTAAACAAAGTATCTATAATTTTACAATAACTTAAGAAACGCAATGTAGATCACCGAGATTGGTTTCTTATTTAGTAAATTCGAAACGATCACCATGAATCACTATCACAAGTCCATTTAAAATCTTTTCAGGGCTATGCGACGATATATCTTTGTGCGCCTTTTCCCCGAAAAGTGCTATGGCACGATATATCGTGCCGGCGGTTGTTTCGAAACAGCAATGGTTTCTCTCGATTCCTCAAACGATCCTTAACACTTTTAAGAAAAAAATTGAATTTTTTCTCGCACACTATACTTCATCCCCGTAGCAAGCCTAGCACTTTTTGGACGAAAAAAGAAAATAACTCTAGCATTTTTCGGAAAATTACAAAACAAATTCTGACATCGAAATTGTTAAATGCATCTTAATTTTTTCTTAAGAAACTTACATCTAAATGACAACCGTGACTGCAGAAAAGCTACAGTCCTGTCACTACGTGACTTAATCTATATAATTAATACGCTACACGTAAGTTTGTCGGTTGAACTCCTCCGTCATTTCTTAACCGATTTTATCCATTGACGTCTCATTGGAAAGAGCGTGTCGTGTAGATTTGCAAACTGACCATACATTTTTGAAAAAGTCCCTTGGGCTCTGCCCCAGTGGCTTTAAAAGTTCCCATGTTATCCTTATGAAGAACATAATTGTTTACATTTTGATCAGCTGTATAATTTTATTGCTCTTATTTACTTTTCAATTCAATGAAACACATTGAGTACATTTATTTACTATTTGAGTTTGTGTAAACATAACCCCCAAGACGGATCGTGTTAGTATGGTTGTATCTTAAATTTGTGTATTTATCGTTGTTTTGTGTCGCTATGATGGATTGTGTTAGCATGATTGTAACTTAAATTTGTGCATTTATCGTTGTTTTGTGTAGCTATAATTTGTTTATTATTTGTTGTTTATTTCTTTTAAATGTCTCCGACGCAACGACAACGAAACATAGACAGGAGGCGCAATCGTGATAACGACCGCAACTACAGAACAGTGGCGCGTAATAGGCTTAACTCATCAGCTTAACAGTCTGAACATGAACCTGGACAACTTCAACTATTTGGTTACAAATGCGCCCTTACACTACCCCAAAACGACTTTTCGTTCTCAATTGGCCCTCTATTAATGACCTGTGTTGCCTGTACAGCGAGGCATTTTGAGAAGGAGAGAACCGTCCGGAATCCTTTAGGTTTATCAATAACGAAGATAAACAGGGTCTGAGTTACACAACGGTAATATTTGAGTTGACTCTTTTAAATTCATTGTAATTATGACTGTTATTCAATCTGAAATAACTCCTGTAATACTTTGTAATTGCTCGAATTCGAGCAACATGTACACTAGTAACAATAAATATAATAATTTACCTGATAATGCTCTCAAAAGGTTGTGAGCCTTTAAAGTTATGACAAATAGCCTTAACCATCGCCATTTCCCTAATGTGGGAATATCGGAGCAGCTCAAAATTTGAAAAGTAGTAACCCCTTACATTGGAGAACTTGGATGAGTATGAGGTATGAAAAAGAAAAAAAGAAATGGTATGTTTAAATCCGTATCACAATCTAGTACAAAGTAATTACTGGCTTATTTATTTGAATAATACAATAGGCTCTACATTATAATATAATAATAATACATACATACATACCTTTGTCAGTCTACAGTTTTAAATTAGTCTGGGGATGACTAGTTTCGGGTCAAATACCATTATCAAATCCAATTTAACATCAAGTTCGAATTACTCTGTAAATCCGACGGACGTCTTCATAAAAATAGCCTCGTATTTTTTATCATTATGTTTCAATAAATATTTTTTACCAAATGTTAGACTACTACTGGAGTACTGGATACTGGAGTAGATATATCATTTTATGGATCAGATTTAGCCAGTGTCTTACTTAAAGATAGCATGCTGAATATGTCGCTTATAAAGTCTGTTACTATTTTTCATTACTTACAAAACCACTGTGGGTTCCACCATGAGGCATAAAGGGGGATAATATAATATGCTATAATCATGCTTTTAAAAAAGATAACATATGAAATATACATGAATGTACATATAATATATGAATTGTATATGAATATGTGATATAATAATCTGTCTTTTCAGTTTTTTCGTCGTTATTAAGTCGGTGGAAAATAAAGGAAACTGTATACAGGAATACACTAAATGGTCCAATTGAAAATATTTCATAAACCTGTAAGTGTGAATTATAACTGATTCAGAATATTATTGGCATAAATTATAATTGTGGCGTGATAAAAAAGCCAATGATACAGTTCAACTCATTAATCCTGTAAAAAATGCTTTACATAAACATTCACTTTCTTGTATACTATGCAGCCACAGAGACAGTTTAGGCTACTTTGTAACCATTAATTATAAGTTTTATGGATACATTAAATCCATCCTGAGGTAAAATAATTCTGTGGGGAGTATCAAAGAAGGTCAAATCAAGAAGGAGAACATGCAAAAACTTGTTTAGAAATCTTAGAATTAGTACTATTATTGGATTATACATTTAAAGAAATCATAAATTGAGTTCATAGAACTAAAGAAAATTTGTCAGATGAAATAAAATTTGTACATAATTACAATAGAAGGAACAACAATCACTTTAGATTACTACATTAGAAGTTGACAAAATTTAAGAACATTCCTCAAATCATGGGACTAATATTGTGCAATGAATTACTACTTCATCTAAAAATACAAAGTTTAAACAATCCACATATACAAAATAAAATAATTGATGAAGTATACTATTCAAAGAATATTTGGAGAACCCTATACGGTAGTTAAAAAATGCGTAGAGACCCTACTGCAGTTTAATTTAACTATACATTTGATTTGAAAAATATATTTTTATGACGAAACACCTGTTTTATAATGAAAAAATTATTATTATAAAGAAAGTTTCGTGTAAATAAAATATGTTGATGTCTAGTACCTGGGGGCTGAGCTTTGTTCAAAGAAAGTTATTAATACACCTTAAGAGTAAGCAATGTGTATTAATTGTCATTGATTTAAATATTGTTCAATAATATATTAATTTGTTGTACGTTCAAGTATATAACGCTTGGATTGTTAACTTGGTTACCTAAGAATGTACCTTTATTATTCAGTGGAAATTTTTGCTTGTACAGTTCTCGAGCAGCAATTACGTTCTTTGCACTCTTTATACAGTAATAGCTATTTTTTAACACTCGTCAAAATTTATTGTAAGACACAGTTCTAGCTGTTTTTAGATGTTCTATTCAAATATTTAAACATTGCTGTGTATTTTTCAGGTGTGCTTGCACCTGTTGATACTTGCAGGTATTATGAAATCAGTAATATTTATTTATAAAATCTAAACAAATATAATGAAAACAAAAGTAATAATTTTGACTTTTATATTGTTGACATGGATACTTCGGATTGCTTGCTTTGTCAACGAAAAAAAGGATTTGCCAACAGCGTATGATTTCTTAACACCGCATGATTTATGTTATTGTTTTTTAATGTTGTCGACTTAATGTTTTAAAGTTTATATTTTTTCATTCAGTTAAATGGTTGAATAAAAATGGGTTGTGCGTTCTCTTGAATCTTGTTTTATATAATTTAAGTACATGATACGTAATGTTACTCCTTATAATGTAGAAAATATTTGTGCGAACAACATTCGCATTTACAATAGGAACACAATTTTGTTAAACAAACAAGTCATGAGAAGGAAATAGGCTACAAAAAAGCACACTTTTATAATTGTCTTTTATTTATTTTCTTACAAATGTTATAAATTAAAACAAATAAAATAAATTAGTATTTTCATATAGCAGATAGATTTTAAAGAGACCTTGGTTGAAATAAGATTGGTGATACATTCGGGGAAATAAAATGACTGGGGAAGACAATCAAATTTACAGGTGTACATAAATTGAAAAATGTTTTGTTTTTTTATGTGTTTGCAGAGTTTTTGTATATCATCCATTGAATGCGTTTCCTAACACACGACCGCCGAGGGCTTCCAACAGTCCGTAGACCAGACCGGCGACGAGTCCTAGCAGAGCTGCTACTATAGTGGCTAGCAGATCAGGCTTGTAGTGGGGGGCGGGGTCTGGCACTGGCTCAGGGGACGCGTCCACACCACTGAGGATGCAGCCCTGGAGATGGAAAAGTTACGTTAAAACACATAATAGTAACATAATCACATTGTC